TATTTTGCTTTTTGTTTCTTTTCTTTTCATAAAATTCGTTTTGTTTTTGTTTCTTTATATTTTTTTTTCACGAAATTCGGGAACTTAATATTAGTAAATAAATAATAAATATGATTGTTTACAAAAATAACAGAAAATTACCAAAAAATAAAGTTGGCGTAGTGTTCATTGGAAGTATCGACATACGCATGCAACGATTTTCATAGAACTCGTTAATGTCAATCCTCAGCGCTCGATCCGGCAAACTAAGCTTTTCTATGCGAAAATAGCACTATCTCGCGCTATAGCTAAGTCGCTCTCGCGCAAGTCGCACCCTATCGTACTAGCCCTACAGTTGTACATACTTGTAATAGTACGTTCAGTGTTTAGGAGTGGAATCTAATAGTAATAACTGATTGATAACAATGGGCTAAAAATTTGAAAAGTACCCACTATATATACATATGTACCCATTTCAAATGTCTTTTTAATTTATACTTCTCGTGTAATAATAAGTACACATATATGTTTGTATCACGTATCTTTTTTAAGTACGGCTGTTAGTAAAAATAACTAAAAAGCACAAGATGTCTGTGCTAAAAAGTAAACACCCAGTATATACATATTTTCATTTCTTAAAAAATTACTTAAGGAAAACCTATGATACACATTTAAATTGATATATTGCCGCATAAACCATAAAATTTGACGTTAAAAACAGATATTGTACAAAAACAGCATTTTTTAAAACTTTTACTTTTATATTAAGACGAATTATTTCGCTTTAGAAGGCTTTAGCCGTCAACAGTAGTAATCACCCAACTTAGCTAGATTCCAACGACCTTCATACCATTCCTCAAGTCTTTTTAGATCCTGGTGACACCTCTTTCTCTGTTGATTACTAACGACTCCCAACAAGATTCGAATAAAAAGACAGATTTAGAGGGAATAAATGTACCGTGAATAACTATTGGTACACGACCTTTGTTTGCCGTAAGTTATTGACAAACTTCGTAAAATAGCCATAAACGCCGTGTCATCTTGCAACCACGATAATGCCAGTTCTCACACGGCCAGATAGACAAATGAATTTTTGAAGGTGAACAACGTTGACCTTATGAGCCATCCCGCGTACAGTCCCGACCTGGCACCTTGTGACTTTTATTTATTTCCAAAAATTAAGAACGCGTTAAACAGTTACGCGATCAACGATTTTCATCACAGTCGAAGAGTATGAAGAATATGTTTCACAGATTGTCACGGAGGAGTGGCATAAATGTTTTCAAAATTGGTTCATTCGTATGAAAAAGTGCATTAACGCCAACGGAGAATATTTTGAGAAATAATAAATTCATTTCTGGGCATTTATAATATTTTTTTCTTATTCATCATTCCAGAAACTTATAGTGCGCCTCTCGTATAACCTTGAGATAATGATAATAAAAATCGTTTATTTTTCTCTCAAATAATAAATCCGTTGTATCTTTTAAACAAAAGAGAGACTTAAGATTTTGCGAATAAACGTCGGTTGTAGTTGCAAAACCTAACTAATTCACGACTTTTTCTAGGTGCAATCAGATCTAAGCTAGAAGCTGTGGTTCCCTCACCGAGAACATTCGCCTGAAACGTAACATTCAAGATTCGTTTGCGAGCATTACATTACAAACCACCTCCCTTACTAGCGAACATTCGTTTTTGAGCATTACATTTCAAACTACCTCCTTCATCGACGAGCATTCGCCTGTAATGTAACATCCAAGATTCGATTAGGCTGCGATCCCGCCAGAGATATGCGAGGTAGCAAGACGTGCTGGCGTGTGGAGTGCCTTTGAGTGCCAGCGAAAGCACTTTGTTGTTGAATACGACTTGCGCTATAATAAATTATAATAGTTATCGTTTATTCGATTAAGTCATTCAATAATTATTAAATTACTCTGATCAATAGTCGTACGCGACTGTGCTCCACGCGTCTCGTGTAAACCAGGAGTCGAACACGAGATACATACACTAATGAATAACATAACAATCGATAAATCCTAATACCATTATGGAAAAGTAACTGTATATTTTTTGCTAATTTGCTTGTATTAAATTAAACTTAACTTTATTAAAACCTTTATAAGTGCTGTATATTATGCAAAATTTGTACACGAGCTCCGAGACGTAACACAGGTTTATACCTGCGTTCCATCTCGGAGCTTGGTTACGGCTCAGGGCAAGGTTATCCTTGAAATAATAAATCGGTTGTATCTTATAAACAAAGGAGCGACTAGTTCTAAAATTTCGTGATTAGAACCGACTAATTCAAGACTTTCTGGGTGCGATCATATCTAAGCTAGGAGCTGTGGTTCACGAGATTCAGAAGTGGTACTGTCGGAATAAGCTTATTCCAGAGTGGAACCAACACCTTAATGTCTTCAAAGCGGCGTAACAGACAAAAATTTAGTTTTTTACGACTGAACGGACTAAATCACTTTTAAGTGTAATCAGATCTAAGCTAGGTACGTGTTGTGGTTCTCGGGACTGAGAAATGATGTAATGTGAATAATAATTGGAATAAGCTTATTCCAAGGTGGACAGTAAAACAAACTTTTGAACGGCAGACCGACTAAATCTAATTTTTTGCGACCGGAACCGACTAACTGGTTAGTCAAATTTCAAAAACTCAACTATGGTCACGCTGGAATAAGCCACGCAGTTTTTTTGGCGATATCACAGACCACATAAATACTAGTGGCGATATGCAATAAATAAAGCGTAATGGAATAACTATTATGAGTACGACACAAGATTTCTATTTGTCTTGTATCTTCCTGTAAGTCTATTAAAGTTTCACTGCCTTATCAGATGACTGAATTACTTTAACTTCTTCTAAGTTCAAAACCGCTTCGAAGCCCTCGAAAATTGCATAGATGTGGACGATCTAAACAACATGGTGGTGGATACTGTCCGTACGGTTGGGTCCAAGTTTTTCAAAACCCACCGTACCAAAATAAGAAACTCTCCGACAAAACACTCCAACACATGGAACATAGAAATGAAATGAGGCTACAGAACGCAGAGGATGCAAGTCACTACAAGCGGGTAAATAGGCAGATATCGAAGTCTTTGACTAGCGACATACGCCAATTTAATAGAGCGTATTAAAGAGGCCATTGAGCGGAGCAAAGGCTCCAAGGTGTTCGCGAGAGATCTATCTATTGGGCAAAGCCAACTGACGAAGCTAAAAACTGATGACGGTAGCATCATTTCATCTAAGCCTGAAATCCTGAGGGAGATAGAGTTTCTAACGACAGCTATATTCAACGAAAGCAACTGTTGAAAGCGAGGTTAAAGACCCCAGAGCCAAGCTTACCCGACATTATACCGAAGATATCCCGGACGTCAGCCTGTATGAGATTAGTGTGGCTCTCAAACAATTCAAGAACAATAAAGCGGCGGGCGATGATGGAATCACTACAGAACGTCTGAGAGCGGGCGGCAAGCCGATACTTAAAGTCCTCCAGAAGCTTTTCAATTCTGTCATCGTCGAAGGTCAAACGCCGAAGGCACAAGCGAGGTCGTTCTGTTCTTAAAAATGGGTGATAAAACACCCTTGAAGAACTATCGGCCAATCTCGCTTCTGAGCCATGTCTATTCGAGAGTTATCACGAATCGTCTCGCTCGCAGGTTTGACGACTTCCAACCTCCCGAACAAGCCGGTTTCCGAAAGGGTTTTAGTACCATAGACCACATCCATACGCTGCAGGTTATACAGAAGACAGAGGAGTATAACCGGCCACTTTGTTTAGCGTTTGTGGACTATGAGAAGGCCTTTGATTCTATCGAGACCTGGGCGGTGCTGCAGTCTCTCCAAAGGTGCCAAATAGACTATAGGTATATAGAGGTGTTAAGGTACTTATACAAAAACGCCACTATGTCAGTCCGATTACAGGATCAGAGCTCTTATCCTGTCCAACTGCAACGAGGCGTGAGACAGGGAGATGTGATATCTCCGAAAATGTTCACTACTGCGTTGGAGGATATTTTCAAGCTTCTGGACTGGAAAGTACTTGGCATCAACATCATACATGGCGAGTACCTAACACGCTTTCGATTTACCGATGATATAGTTCTTATGGCCGAGACCTTGGGAGACCTGAACACAATGTTCGAAGATCTCAGTAGTGTTTCCCAAAGAGTGGGTCTTAAAAGATGAACATGGACAAGACGAAGATCATGTCGAATGTCCATGTTGTGCTCGCTCCACTTAAAATTGGGAGCATTACACTCGAAGTTGTTGACCATTACGTTTACCTGGGGCAGACAGTCCAGTTAGGTAAGTCCAACTTTGAGAAAGAGATCTCTCGTCGAATCCAGCTCGGATGGGCAGCGTTCGGGAAACTACAAAAAATCTTTGCGTCAAAATTCAATTCAAAAATCAAAAAATCCAAATTACCTCAATGTCTCAAGACGAAAGTCTTTGACCAGTGTGTTGCCAGTGATCACATATGGATCAGAAACGTGGTCCCTCACTATGGGCCTCATAAGGCTCAAGGTCACTCAGCGGGCAATGGAGAGAGCGATGCTAGGTATTTCCCTACGTGATAGAATTAGAAATGAGGAAATCCGTAGGAGACCTAAGGTAACCGACATAGCTCGAAGAATTGCTCAGTTGAAGTGGCAGTGGGCGGGGCATATAGCTAGGAAAACCGATGGCCGTTGGGGCGGAAAGGTTCTTCAATGGCGACCGCGCACCGGACGACGCTCAGTGGGTAGATCCCCCACCAGGTGGACCGACGAACTGGTGGAGGTCGCGGGAAGCCGATGAATGCGGGCAGCGCAGTCGTGGAGAACGTTGGGGGAGGCCTATGCCCAGCAGTGAGCGTCGTATGGCTGAATGATGATGATGATGAATTACTTTAAAATGAGAGTTATGTTATCTACGCGCCTCCATTGGGCACCTACCCAATTGCTCCATGTTAAAACAATAAAACAAGACAATACATTTATTTTTTTTAATCTCATATCAAATTACTGAACATAAATTAGGTTTTTAGTACAGACTTGTGTCTAAGGATTTAGATTTGTCTAAAAAATATAAATTAGCGTGGCACCATTGAAGATAAGTTAAAATTGGCTTTCGGTATAAGTTACTTCAATGGAACATCGCACCTAAAAACGACAAATAAAATACTACCATGACATGATACGATTCAAAATCGCATTTAAATTTATCGAACCATTGATATATTCCATTCATTAAGTCTTATCGGCTACAGGGTACGTCTACAGAATTAACTATGTACAGTAAATACAAGCTATAATAACGTTCAAGCCGTGTTATAGTAATCACAGAAGTGATTATAACACCACTTCTCGCGATGGTAGTTCCGCTAAGCTAAGCAATACAGCCACCAAAATTACAATCTATTGATTAATCAAGTTTATTTTTTATCACTCTTGTACTGTACATAAATGGCAAAGATGAACTAAATATAACTAAGGTGAATCAATTACTACAATTTGATTTGGGGCAACATAAATCAGCCCACGATTTTATAAAACTACATTTTATTTTAAACACGACCATAATTAATTTATATAGTAATCCCTGGGAAACTGCAAGAAAATACACTCTTCATTACACTCTCGCTTCGTTATGGTCCCTGTTTTCTTAATTTCCTTACACCCTTTTCATAGTTAACCATAGATTACTAGTATGAGACATGGCATGGTTGTTTTTGGTTTTTGTCTGTAAAAGCAAACAATTTATCACAAGGGACTCTTACCACAATACTCTAAAAATATAAAAGAACTCGATATGAATGTGTGGCCAAGAAGGAATGTGTAAAAAGCTGCTATTATTTTATCATAATTCCATTAATTGAACACCAAGAAAATAGTCCTTAAAACTATTTACAGCATGCAGTAAAAGTTGAAAATATCAGCCAAAATCTGGTAACCACTAAAATGAAATATTTGTTGAACACTCATTGAATAAGTTATAAATACCAGTGGTAGAACTGTTATTAACTTTGAACATGATTCAGTGGTGGGTTCTGAAAATACTTCAATATCTATCAGTAATATATCTACTATGTCACAGACACTTGAGAAAGTTAAATGGTTCATAATTTACACTAAATAGATGACGAAAATTATCTCAATCTGAATGAACAATCATAGCGTTCTGAGCTAAAATCGTAATAATAATCGTAAAATCTAAAAATCTTTTTGCGAATATTCAACTTTAGCTTAGAACACTACTAACACTACAAGCCGTTATAAGACCAGTGTACAATTCATTTATCACTGTTAACCTCGCTAAAAAGGGGCATGTTTAGATCAGTAACCGTGGTATGTGCGTAGCAGAAGTCGGCAGTTTGAGGTGGGCATATGAGTGCCTCCTCAATGGATCAGCTGGGCATGAAGACTATGCAAGTCTGCTCGTCGGGGGTTGATTGCTAGTAATTCACGGTGACAGGATGGTGCGCTATCGCCGTGCCGCTGGCGTGGTGCTGGGCGGTCGCTGTATGTGTGAACGTGCCGGGAACAACGCTCGCGTTGCTTGCAGGTGGGGGTGGGCGGACTTGCTGCTTAAACAAATCAGTGTTTATTATGACACATTTGGAGATTCAAAATTCACCGAATTAAGTAACTCGAAATCATCCCTCTTCGTTTCAGACGGAGAATAGACGAATATCGACTGTGAACTGCCATCGGTACTATCTCAATTTTGATAACTTTGCAGCATGAAGAAGAAAATTGTTTGCGTCATTTATATAGCATCTGGTTTATTAAATAAAAATACGTAGTTTTGAAATATTTTGTTACACATGTATGTATGTACACTACGTATTTTTATTTAATACATCAGATGCTATATAAACGATTTTTTCTTGACCTGTAAACTTGTCAAAATTGAGATAGTACCGGTTGCCAGTTCACAGTCGATATATAAAGTAGAAAAAGAATTACAACACATTATGGTAACAAACCTGGGTGGTTATTTGCATCACGGTAGGCTGCTGTTGTGCACTACTTGGTTGCGGTTGATGTTGCTGTTGCTGCGCGACATTTGGTTGCTCAGTTGGCCGATTTTCCGTAGCCGTTCTAACAAAATAATGGTAATAGTTTGTATAACTTAAACAAATATTTGTCGTGTCAAGGGCATTTTTATTTCTCTTTAAAAAAACCTTGTGATAGTTCGATCGAAATTTTTTTATAAAGAAGTTCATTTTACGAGGTTCCCTATCCTAAATATGTCTGCGAGAAACACGCTAGATATCTGCGATAGTAAATTACTCGTATCATCATGTTATGACATCCTTTACTTTGTTAAGTTAGTTTTGTGTTTGTTAGAATTCTTACCTGATCTCAGGCTTCCGCTCAACTGGTTCCTTCTCACACTTGATGGGGTCGCCGCAATCTTCACTCTCTGTAGGTGGATCGGGTCCTTCATTTTCCCCAGTATGAGTTCGCCGATGCGATACCAGGTGCCCTAGACAATATTTATTTGATAGTGTAATAAAAACAAGTAATTATTACATACACATCAACTACAATCGACTGATAAAGGAGCACATAGCAGAAATAAGAATTTATGATTTGAACTCTAAGCTTACAGAAATAGGAATGAAAAAATATATTTAAGCATTGTTATACCTTTGCACATGAAGTCCTTGGAGCAAATATCGCAACGGAAAGGCCTTGCGCCACCACCACCCTTGTTGTGGGAGCGCTCGTGGAACAGCAGATTACCCTTCAATGGGAACGACTTGCCGCATTCGCCGCAGCTGTACGGTCGTTCGCCGCAACTGTGTGACCTAAAAACAAACGAAGATGTTTAAAATTGACAAGTGAAAAAAAAAATAGCAACAAGGTCAAACAATATTTATCTGACAGTCATATCACGTGAGCAGTATTTGAGATGACGTCTCATGTAAAGCGTACTGAGGACAATATCGATTATATCGTTTGTTGTCAGCTAATAGAATGTTCAAAACATGACTGTTCAATTTGCCCTAAAGGATTATACACTACAGCCGTTTTTATAAAACGGTACAAGCAAATACCAACCTCATATGCGTAATAAGATGCTCTTTACGCGTGAAAGGTTTAGAGCAGATTCTGCACGAGTGTGGCGTGTCGCCAGTATGCTGCTTCAGATGGTTAGTGAGGTGCTCCTTCCTCGTGAACGTTTTCTGGCAAAAGTCACAGCGATGCGGAGATTCGCCGGTGTGTATTCTGTATAAAATATTTAAGTCAGTTATACAATTTATCTGATTATGGGCAATGATATAAGAATAGTTTGGCCGTCTATACATTAAGAGCCTTAGTGGCCTCCTTGGCCACTAAATAATTATATATTACAGGAAAGACTATTTATTTAGCCCGAGAGCTGATTTTAGGAAACGGACAATGCATAGTATTTTAACTAATTGTCAACTTTTTATTAAAGCAAACGGCTAGCATACGGGTCCCGGGGCAGTAAGCACGAACTTCCGATTGGTGACTTATGCTGGATGTCTGAGTGGAGGATTAAGATCACTTGATCATACAAAACGACAAGCAGTTTTGTGTTCTCGTCGACTAATGTTCTTATTACCTGACATGATTAGTAAGATGCTCCTTCCTCGAGAATGTCTTGGTGCAGAAGGGGCACTTATGCGGTGTTTCACCGGTGTGCAGATGCACGTGGTTTGTCAGATGCTCCTTGCGCGAAAACGACTTCGAGCAGTACGTACATTTGAATGGCGTCTCGCCGGTGTGTTGTCTGTCAACAGATTAATAATTATTAAGTAAATTGTATTAGCAGTTACTTATATTTTGTCTTATTTTTAGGATTAATTATTATTTTTCTTTCTTTCCTACTTTATACATAGTCTTCGTCTATTCCAAGCGTAATGTACATACCGCACGTGATTAACAAGATGTTCCTTTCTCGTGAAGCTCTTGTTGCAGTAGGAGCAGGTGTGCGGCGCATCGCCGGTGTGTTGCCGCAGGTGGTTGTTGAGGTGCTCCTTGCGCGAGAACGCGCGCGGGCAGTACGTACACTTGTGTGGCGTTTCGCCCGTGTGCTGTCTGCTCAACAGAGTACATTCCGATTTGAATATAAAACCATCATTCAAATTCGTATTTGCGCGAACACAATTTAGAAAATTATGTAGAAAGCAATAGGTCCATCAGGTGAGGGAATTTGTATGGGTGTCATCAGTTTGATTTGTTTAATCTAATAAGTTAAATTAGATTTCAAATGGTTGTATTTCGAATGAACCCTCTAATGTCTATATCTTAAAGGGATTTCTTTACTAAAGAAGCCATATATATAATACGTTAGTATCGTAATATCAAATTATTAATTTAGATAAATTAATACAGTTGCCATGCCTGTAATATGTAGTCCAAATCACTGCGATCGTCATTGATCCTGTGATATAGGAAAAATAAATTGTCCACGTCGTAATCTTGCTCTCAAATATTTTTGATATGTATGAACTGCCTATATCAGCATAAAACTCAGTATTCATGTCCCTAATACCATAAATATGTAATTTCTCGAGTTAAATGACAAGCGAGAATTGACAATATAAAAGAATAAACACAACATTAAGTCAATATTACGAAATGAAAACATCGCTAAATCAATTTACAGCGAGCGACAAAGTATCATATAACTTCATATTTACAGTAGGACTTCGAAGGGTAATAAATTTAAAAGGCCACTAAAAGCTCTGAAAATGAGCTCAAATCGGAATGCACAATGCTGTGCTACGGAAGGGGAAACTTCACACAAATGCAATCAGAAATTACATATATCCAACCCTAATACTTATCTGATTTCAGGATACAAAGAATTCGTTTTGTGTCCGAGAGAAACAAAACCTACTTTCGGAATACAAATTCAAAAGGAAACACATGCTACGACATGCACTAATTGAATCATGCTAGAAGAATACTAGGGTTAATTCTACAAAATATATAGTGAATCTTATTGAATATGATGTCACATTGGAACTTCGTAGCACAGCATTGTATGTTATTCTACTTCTAATAGACGAAATTTTTATGATCTTATCAATTAAAGAAAAGTGACAATGCTTTCTATGGTGATATTTACGAAAATAATGTACCGTTCGATGCACGTACAACTTATGATTCATTTTCGTAAATGCACCAACAGATAAAATAGTTTTTAGTTACCTAGGAAAATTACACACCATCATTGCCATGCCATGATGACGAGTCATTGAATTTTATGAATACTCTTCGAAAAAGAATACGACAATAAGGTGACAAGTACAAGAACGATATATTAGTGTGTTTGTGGCTGAGGCCTTTTAAATGAAAACATCACCATACAAAACTCATTAATGCTCGAATTCAACTCACCTGATGTGATTAGTAAGATGTTCTTTTCGTGTAAAGGATTTTGCGCAATAGGTGCACCGATGCGGAGACTCGCCGGTATGTTGACGCACGTGATTGGTCAGATGTTCTTTGCGGGTGAACGACTTAGTGCAGTACGTGCACTTGTGAGGAGATTCACCCGTGTGCTGGCGGACGTGGTTCACTGTCGTGTAGTAGTAAGATAAGTATCAATGGTAATAGATAGGACAACAATTTGGCACAAATACACGTACTTTTAGTATTTTATAGGTCAAAAGTAAAGCTCCCCGAAATCTACTATTCGCTTAATGTGACGACGGTCTAATTTTAGCAGCAGTAGAGCTCGTCTAGAATACTGCCACCTTACCTATTTCTGCCGCCAAGCAATAATGTTAGCATTAATGCGTTCCGGTTTAGAAGGGTAAGGGTGAAATCACAAGCACATGGGACTTGTCAACTTGTCTCAGTGTGACGGGCGCAGTGGCAGTGCCCCTCAAATCTTTGCGATTTAAAGCTTTGAATGGCACTGTAACGTGCACGCGTGTAGCTTACCATCAGGCGGATGACTTGTTCGTTCCGTCACTTGATATTATAAAATAAAATAAAAATAAGATATGAAAAATTAACAACTCAAAAAACCTGTTTCCGTGGTTTAGCGATTTGCATTTAAAGCACTCGATGGGGAAGTGCCGGGTTCGATTCCCGATACGGACAATTTGAGAAATTAAGTTTTCGATATTATTTTTGGTTAATTTCGTTGCTCTGGTACTCATAGGGAATTACCTATTTAGGAACCTGGTAATTGTGGTTGTCGACATTTTATTATAACTTAAGACACAAACAATTTAAGAAACTTTCTAAATTGGTTTAGCTTTAGGTTTTCCGGGACTTCCCTTGGTGCTAGCCCCATAAGTTAATAATAAATAATAATAAGTTAATTTCATTGATCTGTACCTCATTTATAATACAGAATCCCTAGTTTGAGAACAGGTCATTGGTGTCGTTGTCTGACACATTATTATTATTATTACACAAATTTATTTATAAGCATGGCTAAATAATAAAAATAAGTTACCGAGATGATCCTTTCTGGTAAAAGCCTTGGGGCAATATCCGCACTGGAAGGGTGTCTCTCCGGTGTGTTGTCGCACGTGATTGACAAGATGCTCTCGCCGCGTAAATGACTTAGAGCAGAAGTTACAGCGGTGCGGCGATTCGCCTGTATGTTGCCTGACGTGGTTCAGTAGATGCTCTTTGCGAGTAAACGTCTTTGAGCAGAAATCGCATCGATGTGGGGTTTCACCTGAAAATATTGATAAAGTTACACCGAAAGAATAGATATTTACGTACCTGGCGATTGTAGATAAGGCTAATATGGATTAGGGTAAGTGGTAGTACATTTTGAGTAGGTTCTTGCACATACTATCAAAACAGCCGAATGGATATTGTAACAAAAAAACACAATGAGAGGGACAACTAGCGTCTTCAAGCAATTTTATACTAAGAAAAAACGAATCAGATACTGACAAATAAGTTATGCAAAATTTATGCAAGATGTAAATTTGGAGTTAGACAATGACACCAATATAATGCAAAATAAAGGAAAAATCCAAGCTTTACACCAGGAGCAATCAAATGGGTGACAACACACTCAATGTACTGTCCTTTGGCTACCTCGTACAACGTACCTAATGATTGAATGTAGTAAGATATGTTAGTGGTATAACATTCATATTTGCGACGTTGGGGGTGTCAGTCACCGCGTAATGAAAGCTATACTAACCCGTGTGCCACAGTATGTGGTTGGTGAAGTGCTCCTTTCTCGTGAAGGACTTCCCACAGAGCGTGCAGCGGAACGGGGTATCGTTCGTATGCGAACGCATATGGTTCACTAAATGCTCCTTCCTAGTATACTTCTTGCCACATATTTGACAATGATGCGGCGTTTCACCTATTTGGGTGGGGCAGAAAATAAAACGTTAACATTCAATGATGCAACTATGGAGGATTCTGTTCGCGATACAACTCTTGTCTCCCGTTCGTTATAAGGTTATAATAAAATGTTAGTCACACGGTGTACTCACGTAAGCATTCGTAAAATATTAGTTTATGTTCATTTCTCACAAGTAATGAACATTTTTCAGCGTTACTTTGTAAGTTTTGTATGCCGAAAACCCTCATTATTGTGATTAGGATGCATAGAATTTTTGGCGTACATTGTAACGTATCAAATATCTGTGCATTTTTCTCATGGCAGTACAGATTTCCACCAAAATTCTACGTGAGCGCATCCTAATATTGAAACAAAACCCGCGGGAGAACAATGTTCGGATTTTCAAACAAGAATTCATTGTTATATGATGTTGGTTGTATTCATATAAATAGTTGAATCATTAAATTATCAATTCTACTTTCTGCACCACATTTTCTAAGCCCATTAGACTGGTGCAAGCTTGGGTTTTCCATAAAACTATTATAAGTAAATTTATAGCATCTAAGTGTAAATAAATAAAATACATAACACAAAGATGTAAACACCAAATCAAAATAGTCAATAGGTCTAAACTAAGAAGAGACCTTTTACCACACCTACTTTATAGCTTACAGTCCAATAGACCACAAATGCTAACCATGCGGGATTACGTCATATTCACATATACTACAAATGCTAAGGATTTCTATTTATGCGGTTCAAGGAGACATAAAAGATAGTAGACGTAGTAAACTATGTACATTACATTAGTTGGTAAAATAGATATAAGCAGAACATTCGCTAAACAAGAAATCACTGGACGGTAAAGGGTTAAATTAAAGGAAAGATAAAATTAACTTCCCATCCTTTTGTGCCACTGAAGATTTATGTGTACGAAGAGACAGGCAGATTAGTGCAGTTATATCAATTGATCTAATAAAATACAATCAAGAGCGTGTCGGTCATTGACACCATACTTTTGTAGCTGGTTTGACACAAACAAGTTCATATCAAAATTAGACTCGAATTTCTTTGTATTTTTTAATAACAACAGTACTACTCGTACCTGTATGCCACATGACGTGGTTCATAAAATGTTCTTTTCGCGTGAAGCTTTTCTTGCAAATGTCGCAGCGGTGAGGTGTCTCGCCCGTGTGTTTGCGTACATGGTTCACCATGTGTTCTTTGCGTGTGAACGTCTTTGCGCAGAACTGGCATCTGGGACGAATGGAGGGTTAGTATTATTTCAAACAAAACCAAGCTTCGTCGTGATGCAATTGGAATTGGGAAGGGGAATAAAAAACAATCTATTGAGAAAATAATTCATTTTTATTAGAAATCCGCAATTCTCAGAATGATAATTTTCGATCAAAAAGTACCTGTAGGGAGTTTCTCCAGTATGGCTGCGGACGTGATTGTCAAGATGCTCCTTACGAGAGAACGTTTTATGGCAAGTAGTGCACGCATACGGCTTGTCTTGGGTCATCCTCTTGGCGTGCCTTTCGGCTGGGTCTCCGGCTGTCAGAAATCAATATAAATATGGTTCAATACAAACCTCTACATTTTTCGAATTGCTGGGAAAGATGTAGTCCTATCTTATATTATATGGACAGAAGATATTAAACACATATCAACTTGAAAATAAGAGTGATGTTCAGGGTGAAATACTAAGTAACTGCCTCCGGACCGAACGATTACCATGCCGGACTGCCACGCCGTGGTCCCGGGTTCGTTTCCCGAGTTTCCCGGATAAATATTTGTATGGCCTACATTTATTTCTCTTGTGAGTTTGGGTGTGTCCATGGCACCCGCGATACAGGGTTTCCCTAGCGCTGGGCTATGAGTGTGCGCTCGTTATTATTATTATTAAATTACGTACATTTTCGAAAACTATTAACAAACTTCAGAAATTGAAATATAGCGAGTGGGTGTCTAAATGAAGGATTTGATACTTCATTCTTTGTTGCATATTTTTGGGTTAAATAGGTTTGGTTCGATCTAATACGAAATTAGTGTACAGTACTTACCAAGATGGCACTTCCCGTGTTTGGATAGTTCAACGGGGTTAGCAAACGCTGATCCGCAGACTTGACACGTGAACGGTTTGTTTTCGCCGTGATACCGCCTATGGCAAAAAAAAAAGGAAAATTGCATAAATAATAGGTTTTTTTTCACGATACAAGAGTGTGCCCCGTGTACTGCAGGCAATAGGAAGGTAATTGCTAATAGAACTTACCTGTGTACAATAAGTTGATAGCGGTATTGGAATATTTTTCCGCAAAGGTCGCAAGAGTGGTGTCCTGGTGACGACTCTTCGGTCATAGCAGCGCTCGTACCGGCTTCCACTTCCACTTCCGAGATAACCTAACAATCAAATGTTTGGAATAGTAATAGAATCTTGAACTAATCTAAATTCACCAAATACACTAATTGAAAGATGCAATTTGAATCTATAATTAAAAATAAGCTTTCAAATTTTTATTATTATTTATTTGTTTGACATTTCATTACGTGTCACAAAGTAGCCCGATTTTTTTATTACTATCCAAATTATTATTTTTTTCTTCATCATGTTTTGAGAGCTTGGATTTTAAATGGCAAAGTAGATTTCAAACGTACTCACCTTATTCTGTGGTTGACCTTCTGCATTAAGTTTGCCAAAGACCTCATGGTACGCTAGTAACTGCGAAAGGTCCTCGACATTCACTTTATACATAGCATGAAGATCGTGCTCGGACGCGCCCGCTGAGATTTTCACGACTGCACCTTCCATGCCCATACCCACACTCTGTGTAGAAAAGCGAAATCAATGAACTCATTTGAATATAGTATTGAATTAAACCTTAAGGGCGCATTTATTCGAATTTCACCGCGCTCACCCCGCGCGGCAACCGCGCGGGCGCTGCGCGGTAGCCGAGCGGAGTCCGCGTTGCTGCCGCGCGCCGGCCGCGCGCGTTTGACTGTCATGGCAAAATACGCTCTATTCATTTGGTTTTTACGTTTTAACTTAAATGAGCGTCCCGGGCACGCGGGCGAGACTGGCTTGAATTTAGTCTACTCGGCGGCCGCGCGGTTGTATTATTCAGAAGAATTTCAATGTTGTTGCTTAGTAAATAGAATTTAAACTTGCGATAATGTACCTGAAGGCGTGGTAACTGGGCGGTCCTCGCGCGAGAACTTTCTTCACGTGTAACTGGGCGCTTAAAGGCACGGTACGTCATTTATTGTAAAATTACTCATTATAACAAACAGTCAATTTTCGCAGGGTATTACTAATAGCATGGTACGTAATTAATTAATTAAGTAATGACTAACGGCCATATGTATTCCTCTGAATTAGGATATAGGAATAGCAGGAAAGTTTTGCATAATTTCGATCCCTTATTCATTCAAATTCACAACATTACTGGGGAATGTTTTAAAGTATTGAACGGTCTAAAATGAGCATAACACTTGAGATTCAGGAGGTATTGCAACGAAAAAAGAAAACTAATCGTGTATATCAAAATATACGCGCCTTATTTTTCTTGCTTTATCCTATTTTTGTAGCTGACGATAGATTACGCAGGAGTCGATTTGAAGTTAAAACTTCGAAACACTGAAGTCTGTTTGTATAAAAGAAATCTGTAGAACAATAATGACATGTCAGTATCGGATATGGCGTGGTGTTTATACCAGCTGATTATACGAGGCTATTATTATTATTTGAAGTTGATGTAGCTAACATACACGAAACCTGTCAGTGTTCCTAAATTTTACAGTACTATGTCTGTCACTATTATTCATAAAGAGACTATTACTATTTTTCTTATCTCTCAAAGACGCTCAGGGGCCCAGATTGTAAATATAGGTGACAGTACATTAGTAGGAACACGAGGATATATATTTATCCTTTTATATTTATCATCTTCATGTTTTTCGTCACAGAAGTTGTAATGAATTGGGCCCTGTGCAGCATACTAACCTTTAGATCAATCCCTTTAATGTCCTTGATTTCGGCAGGTATAGCGAACTGCGCGGTCTCCATTTTGGCAGCGCTCTTCTCGTCTTTGACAATGAGGGGATCAGCAGCACTGGCTTCAATAGAGGTGGTGCCATCAGGATTGTGCGTAACTAAAATGTTGGCAGGCTCGCCTGTGGCTTGCTCAATACGTACTACGCTGTCTAGTACCTGTGGGAATGTATCCAATTTAGTACTATCCTCAAGTCCTGTATCCTTTAAGAATGCCACCTATACCTTAGCTCTCGTCGTTGTGGTATCAAATGAAAACAATATCAGTTCAACAACACATTGAAGCACTAACAACTGACAGGCCATTTAGACAGTTCACACTATCACGATTTCCGTGTAGCTACGTATCCCGTTTTATAAAAAGGCATGGGTTTGCAGTTATAGGCAAATATCTTAAGAAGGTGGTAACTATTAGGCAGTGTAGATCAGATACACTGGATCAGATGGAATAAAATTCGCTAGACAGAACAAGCGGCTTAGACATTATTGTGTATGGGCATACAATAATAAAACAAGTAGGGCAACAGCCGCCTGTGAGGCGCGTAAACACCTACAAATCACTCAGAGTGTAGGGTTGTCGCATTATTATTTTAGTTCTACCTACAGTTTGTAAACATACTAAAAACAAATTAAGGTGTTCTTCAAAGTATTCTTGTCCTATATTGAAATAATCCTTTTTAAATGCAGAACTTATGCAGTATGTAAATTTTTATTGAATTGATATTAAATTATTTTTTATGTGAAATTACTCCACTGCTTTGTTATAATTATTAATACAAAAGATCGAACGCTCAGAAAAAAAATCCTTCGATCCGGCCGGATTGAATCGACGTCTTCTAGCATACCGTGGCAGACGCTACACCAACTAAGCCACGGAACGAACCAGCGTACCTTACGAATTTTCCTATGTGCTTGTTGACGTATTTTTCTCTGAGTCTTCGATCTTTGTATTAACAATTATTCTAGTATGGTTAAACACGATTGCATCAAGGCGAATTCGTGTTAATAAGTATGGTAACCCCCTATGCAACGCGGGATTACGCAAATGTGTGCACACATACAAGCCGCGCTGCTACATTCATATGGAGTTACCATACTCGTCTTATTATAATATGGTATAGGCGTGTATTAAACATACACTAACCTGTTGTCCTACAATTTGTTGCAACTGATGCACGGTGAGGGTATGATCAGTGCCAGGCATCTTGATGGCTTCATGTAGCTCTTCCTTGTCCACGAGTTTGCCACCGCCCGGTTCCACCACAGTCACTATGCCATCTTCACTCACTGTCAGTTGGATCTGATTGGAAATAAATATCAGTGTCTATACTTCAATACTAATGTTCTTTTAAAAATGATGACAGTTCTGAAATATTCTGAAAGAATGGTTTGAACTTTGTAGACAACTTCTATTTAGTTACAGTTAATGGTATTTTAGGTATAGTTTTAGTTGCAATTATAAAATCAAAAGACAGAAAGAAATTTCTTTAAAAAAAAAAGGATGTGATTGGAA